ATACTTGCTGCTGGTTCGGGGTCTGCTGGCGCAGAAGGACCAAATGGCGATTGGTTCTCTTCCTTCTTCAAATGGCACGGAGTAGGTGGTGACGGTGGCTTCCTTATGATACGTGGGGTGCTGGCGGTTGACGACTGCGGACGTTGAAATAGCTGGGAATGGTCAATCGGTGCGGGCGGCCCTGTGGTGGCGACGGCTCCGGAGGTGGTGGCGTGGAAATGCACTTACACTTCGACGTTCCAGGCGGGATGCTGAGGTTGCATTAACCAGCGAAGTACCAGTGCTTAATGCTGCGCTATAGGCACTTAATTGTTTAGTAGCACAGCGTGCTGCCTTAGGGATTCGCTATATATCGCGAATTCTGCCTTTAAGGATTCACTATTATATATCGCGAATTTACACCAGACCGTATATCCGGGGTGACGGGGAATATCGATTTGGTACGCGTTGGCTTGCCTGAGAAAATTAACAATTTGCACAACTTGGATTCACTTTGTGTTTGAACAATAGATTTATTAAAATTTCAGGCTTCTATTATGCGAGTGTACAAAAATGTGGAGGTTTAATAGATTTAGTAAAATATTTCGCGCACGAGCACTGCAGTTGCGTCTGTATATGCGAGGAAATAAAATTGTAATAATACAGCTGTCAAAAGCTGCAAAGCATATATATACATACAAATGAGTATACAGCGAGTTGGTAGCGAGCGAGTTGGGCATGCGTTGCCAACCACTCCTAAGATAAGCTTACAAAGGGTGCACACCAGAGCTAGTTCAAAGTATAAATTCAAAATATACAAAATTCAAGAGATACAAAATTCAAAATGAAATGCACACTAGTAAGCTAGCTACAAATTGTGTTAATTAAATATAAGTGTTGCAGTGCTCGCGTAGCCAAAGGGAGATACGTTCCGTCCGCCAGATACATACTAAATTTTTGAATCTTTTCATTCGTCCTAGGTATACAATACTCAAATCCAAATAGGTGATCCATCTCCTTTAAAAATTCGATGAGTTTCTTCCTTTCGCATATAAGTGTTCCGGTTTTGAAAGTCAATATTTGTAACTACATATGTTTCGGAAATCCCCAATCACATTGCTTTGTGAGAAATGATATCTGAAAGATTTAGTTTTTCCGTCACATCAAATGTTTTGTTGAATGAAATTTTAATCCAATCTAGTCTGTTGTATCTTTTTGAAACTATGGACAGAGATGAATTAGTTCCGTATGCGCGAGTTATGTATTTCAGTAGTAGTAGTAGTAGCTCTTCAGTATTAATAATAAATGCAATTTGTGCTCTACTCAACGCGTCTACATGTCCCTATGCTGAATGACAATTGTAATTGTCCAACTCAAGGGCCCACCTACCGATTCGGGGATTCAATTGTTCCCTTTCCAGAGTCATAGCTAGCGAATTACAGTCAGTGATTATCTTAAATGGCATACCCTCAAGATAAGTTCTGAACCTTCTTAAAGCTCAAAGCTGTGATATTTGGATTCGGCACTGGAGGCAGTCTTTGAGAAGTATGAAATGGGATGAAAGTTATTGTCGTCCTGTCGCTGTAACAACACAGCATCAAATCCTATTGAGCTAGCATCACATTGCAGTTCAGTCTCCTTTTTACGATTATATATTGCCAGGACCGGAGCTTCGATTAATCGACATTTAAACTCATTGAAGGCATTGAGACAAGTCTCATTAAAATCAAAAATGGCCTGGCGTTTAAGTAAATTTTGCAATGGTTTGGCTATCTGAGAAATCGATGGCACAAAACGACGGAAGTAGAAGAACAACCCTATGCAGGATTGCAATTCCGAATACTTCTAATATGGGAACCATTCCTGAATTAGTCGCTTCATAACCTAAATAGTCGATTTCTCTATATGGGAACTTTGATTTATCTAGGTTTCAATCCTCGCCTTGCGAGTAGCTCTAACACAACTTTCAATAATATACCATATATTATTATATATCCACATATATAATAATTTTCCTTTTGTCGATCAAGTCACGAAATATATTATTAATGAAGCTCTGAAATACGGCAGGGGAATTTCTTAACCCGAACGACATTTTTAGGTACTCTTACTGACCATTGGGAGTTACGAAGGAAGTATACGGAATTGATTCAGGTGACATCTGCACTTGGTGAAACCCACTCTTCAAATCCAGAATGGAGAAAACCTTTTTATTTTCAAGGAATGCAATACAGTCATCAATTAGTGGTAGAGGGGAGTTGTCGCGAACAGTTATTTTATTCAGAGCCCTATAGTCAATACACATGCGAATCTTCCCACTCTTCTTCCGCACTAACACAATTGCGGAAGCGTTTTGTGAGTTACTGCGTCTGATTATCCCCTCTTTCTCCAAGTCGTCAACTATAGATTGTACGTCACCCCGTTCTGAATAGGAAAGTCGCCTGGGAGGGCAATGAAACGGTATATTAGTCGTTAAATGTATTCAACTTCGATGTCTGTCTTAAAGTATGTGTATTCTATCAGTCTTTCTATATCTGAATGTTGATCTGTAGGCAACTNGTAACCTAAATAGTCGATTTCTCTATATGGGAACTTTGATTTATCTAGGTTAAGTTTCAATGCTCGCCTTGCGAGTAGCTCTAACACAACTTTCAATAATATACCATATATTATTATATATCCACATATATAATAATTTTCCTTTTGTCGATCAAGTCACGAAATATATTATTAATGAAGCTCTGAAATACGGCAGGGGAATTTCTTAACCCGAACGACATTTTTAGGTACTCTTACTGACCATTGGGAGTTACGAAGGAAGTATACGGAATTGATTCAGGTGACATCTGCACTTGGTGAAACCCACTCTTCAAATCCAGAATGGAGAAAACCTTTTTATTTTCAAGGAATGCAATACAGTCATCAATTAGTGGTAGAGGGGAGTTGTCGCGAACAGTTATTTTATTCAGAGCCCTATAGTCAATACACATGCGAATCTTCCCACTCTTCTTCCGCACTAACACAATTGCGGAAGCGTTTTGTGAGTTACTGCGTCTGATTATCCCCTCTTTCTCCAAGTCGTCAACTATAGATTGTACGTCACCCCGTTCTGAATAGGAAAGTCGCCTGGGAGGGCAATGAAACGGTATATTAGTCGTTAAATGTATTCAACTTCGATGTCTGTCTTAAAGTATGTGTATTCTATCAGTCTTTCTATATCTGAATGTTGATCTGTAGGCAACTTGGGATCAATATCAAGGCAATCTTTATCCATACTCATTTCAATACAAAAAAGATCTGGGACCTCAACGGCACTAAGACTGATACATTCATTAACATCACGGTTTCGGCACTTTGGTATATCATTAATCGAGTTTCCATCCGGGGCCATCCGTCAGTTTTGAGGGTATTCACAGTTTTTAGTGACTTATTTAAATACGTTTTACTATTACGAATCGTCTTCAAAATGTTTCCATCTATACTAGCTAATTTAAATAATTTCCAAAAGTCCCGTCCCAAAATAACCGGCAAAGACATGCAATTATCAACAAGTACTTTTAATTCAACAACATTAATTTTATTTCTGAAAGAAATTTTACATTCAATTGTACCAAAAATTAATAGGGGTTTTCCACCGATTCTCTTAAATGTAGAGGCAGTTCTCTTCATTACTTTCATACCCAGTTCTTTTGGGACGTCCGAATGTCTAATGAAGGAGAAAAAATGAGGTTAGACTAATCCACCAGCTAGCTTAAAATCTATGCTTACATAATTGTGCTCTCCAACGATCTCGGAATCATCACTGTACTCCACTACGGCAGCTACATCATCTTTACGTTTGAGAATTTTCCTCGGGTTGGGGCAAATCCTCCAGCATTTCAAGCATGACCTGTCCGGCCTTAGCAGAGATGGGCAGTTCGGCTTTATGTGCCCAGTTTGCAAACAGTTGTAACAAGGTTACTTCTGCTCTGCCTTCTGATTCACTGCAGTCGGCGGCTTCTGGTCTGTCGTCTTTGTAAAGAAATACTTATTTTGGTAGCGGCTGATGATAGCCTTGAGTTCAGTATTTCGTGCCGATAGGAGTAAGTGCGAATTTGGAACACTGTTCCCAATACCATCGATTATAAAATCGACCACTTCCTGCTTCGCAATGTTTTCTCGCTTTGCAATAGCCTGTATTCAAAGAACATAGCAATGCATTGATTCGTCTTTCTTTCGCCAACGTCTCTGCGATAACATTTTCTAGATCTCTTGCCTGGTCACCGCAAAATGAATTCTTTCATTAAATCCCCCTTGAGCGCGCAGTAATTCAACGCCGTCGTGGTCGAAAGGAACACGCGCGCAGTTCCGGTTAAGGAGCGACGGAGTGCCAGCAATTTAAAATTCTCGTCCGCTCCCGTCGACTGCATAATCTCTTCAAAATCTCTTATAAAATTTTCGACCGGATAGGCTACGTCATCACCATTAAATTTCGGCAGGGCATGCTCGATATCACCAAAATCAAGCTGGTGAAACGCAGCCTTAAATCACTGGTTACTTTTATCTGGACGCGTCTGTTATTTCTTCATATTTATCATTTAAATTTAAAAGGTGTTGTCTTTAACTTATGATGATAGAAAGATCTAGACATGCCTTTTACTGAATTCAGCGATCTGCAAATATCACATTTCGCCTTTCCTTCCTGTGTGAAAAAATCCCAAAGTCGACTTCGCTTTTTACCCATTGTTTAAAGTATTTACTATGAAATGAATTTAAAGTTAGTTAAAAAGGTAGATATATAATTTAATTTAATACAACCTACTTAAGACTACGATTTCCAGTTAATAAAACTCTGCCCACTGTCCCAATCAGATAAAACGATGCATCTCCCCATTCGGCTCTTTCTTGTTGTACATTGTACTGTCAAATGAAAAACATAGTTAAAACACTAGTTTTAGACCATAAAACTTTGTAATTTTTATACTACACAAAAGTTGTTATGGTACGCATACTGTGGGAGCAGCAGTGAATGCAGTCGGCATGACACAATAGGGTGCGCTATGGCTAGTCGTGTCGGCTGGGCTGGGTTCTTGCATTCACCACTGTTCCCTCCGCCATAGCAGAGAAACAGTCATGCCTTGTCAAACATCTCAACTTCCGGCATGGCAGGAAGTAACGGACGGACACACAACAAAATAGTTTTTAAACTAAATGATTGCTCTTTATTGATCAGATTAATTATAAAAACGTTTTTACACCAAGTCGGTCTTTGGCAAAAATGGCCGAGCTGTCCTTCTTCTTCCTTTTTCTTTTTCTCTTTCCCTTCCTTCTGCATACACAATTACCAACGGCTGGGCCGTGTTCACTGCATATGCAGGGTTGCCAGATAAACATCTTACAACTCGGCCAATCTGACTTTTGATCGCCCTCGATCACCTTAAAAATATACTAAAAATTATGACTTGACTAGGTTACATAAATTATGACATTTCACTTAAGCTACCCTCTTAATCTACCTGCGTACTAGTATTGCTTTCTTCTTCGTCATTGGGTTCGGCATCGGTTTGAGGTAACCATTTCCGCATTCTATTAGCTTCTACGACCCCGTCATATGGCAGCTGCGTAATTTGGCAGTTCTCTATATCCCGAATTACGTACCGGTCGTTTCCGAGAACTTTGAAGATTACGTAAGGTCCTTTATACTTTGGGGAAAACTTTTTGTTGGTCCCCACCACTGTGTCTACGTTTCTAATAGCAACAAACTCACCTACCTCGTACTTTTTGGGATCTTTACTGTGTTTTGAGAAATATGCGTTGTGGTATTCTTGGGTGCTTCGGATAGAGTTACTAGCATCAGCCCTGATTTTGTCTAAGTTTCTCGTCTCATCTGATTTAAGCTTTTCTGTAAAATATTCTGAAAATTCATCAACGGTTTCAC